TATTTCTTTTCTGGGGTTATTTTTGTTTTCTTTTGTTTTTGTCTTATCATTTCACAATAAAACGCTCACACAACCTAAAAGGTAGAGGGTTCATTTAATGTTTTCTGACTATTAGGGGAAAGGAACCACCTGGTGCAGGTTTTCTAAAAATTTCTCCACCACTTACCATTAAGTATGTCAAGGACATCATCATTACTTTCACATTTCCAGGATGCAGACATCCTTTAATCCTCTATTGCACTATTTCTCTGCAGCTATTGAATAATTATTCCTGAACCTGCTCTGCCAGTGTCCCTCTTGATGAGGATTTCATGCCTTCTTGTCTTGACAATATTAACAACATGAAAACAGGACTGCCTGATTCTTCTTTTTCTCTTTAATACAGTGAAGGCACTTTTATCACTAGGAAAAAGATAGTCTTCAAAAGAAAAATGGGGCACTTCCTGAAGAATATGGTAAAATCAATCTTAGACAGAAAGAGAACAATATTTGGAACTGTAAAGTATCTGCAAAATCGATTGTTCTTGACTTGTAACTCTAATCATATAATTTGCTTCATTTGCAACTTCCAACATCTTCTAATTGCCAAATAAATTATCATAGTTTATCATTCTGTTGTGTAAGTGGCCCCCAAAATTTTCTGGTCTGTTATTTGAGTAATTTCATTAATTCTTTCTTACATAACAATTACCTGTATTCTGACATGACTGAATGGTATTTAAATTTGTTGCTCATAATGTTTATTTATATTTTGATTGTTGCAAAAGATGCAGTATATGGATAGCAATGCAAAAGAATTCATCCCCTGTTACACTCACTGGAAATCAAAATGGGAAAATATATTAGATAAATTCTTAATTTTTATTCTAGGAATGGATTATGTCAATGTGAATAATAACTGGTTCTATCTTTCTAAAACTGAATTTTAAATTCATGTGTTCATATTGAATATAAAACCCAATGTTACTTACTTAAGAGTTGGAGTCTTTGGGGGAAGTAATTATGTTATGAAGGTTTTATGCTCAAACTTGAGCTGGTTGTCCTTTATAAAAGATGTTGAAAGGAAATGTCTTGTCCCTCTTGCAGTGAGCACAGCAAATCATATATTGTAAGACCAGAGAAGAAATTGAATCTAGCAACTTGTTCTTGAACTTTCTTACTCAAATGAGGTAGGAGTAAATAGTTTGTTACAAGAACTTTGCCCAAATGAATAATGCTTCCTAAAACAGCACTTGGTACAAAAACTAAGGAGTTTTTGTAACAGATCCTTAAAATGGTGGAAATGGCTTTGCCACTGGGTGATGGAAAGAGTTGGAAATGTTTGGAGGTAAATGTTGGAAAAGTTTGTCTCATTATTTGTAATACACGGGGGTGATTCTGATAACAGCTTGGAGGAAGGGAACTCTAGGGAGCACCTCATTCTGCACAGCAGTAACTTGCAATTAAAAGGAATATTGCTAGAAATATGGATAAAAAAGACATTTGTTGAGGAGTCCTCAGAAGGAAATAAAGAATGCGTGACTGAAAACTGGAGGAGAACGCCTCCTTGTTATAAAATGACAAAACTGGACTATATCATATGTGCCTCAAGAAAGGTAGGATTTGAAAGCAATAAAACAGGGACTTTTTAAAAGGGCTGGAAAGATGGCCCAGTGCCTAAGTGCATTATGTCCTCTTCCATTAGACCCCGGTTCAATTCCCATTACTGACATGGCAGCACACAACTGTCTATAACTCCAGTTCTATGGGATACAAAATCTTCACACAGACACGCATGCAGGCAAACACCATAAAATTTAATTTATTAAATGAAAATTTAATAAAATAGGAAAAAATAGGAGATTTGTGAAAGAAATATGTAGGGGAAAAGTTGAAGGTACAAAATAGCTTTCCTTTATTGAGAATAGCAAAATGAGAAAAGACAGATTAGGAGAACTGAAATATTTATAAAATTCCCAGCTAGAAATGTTACAGCACATATTTTAAAAAGTTATGCAGAGGAGGACCCCAAAGACAGTCAGATGGCCACTCAATGAAAAGATGAACCTAAAAGAACAGAGGCCTCTCTCTCTTATACTCCATCAAGACAAGGAAAACACAAATCTGTAGGCATCTCAGCATTTTTTTTTCTGGACTATCCATCCTCCAGAAGCTCAGAAAGCCAGCCATTTGGGATTTGAGCAACTTCATGGCTCAGTCCTTGGCTCATCAAAGTCTATTCATCATAGTCCAGAGACTGCTCATATTGCTTCTCTAAAAGACACAGGGTGTAGAGCTAGTGTACATAGTGAGATAATTGCTCCTTGAGCCTAGATTTCAAAGGATGTTGGGACAGAATGTGGAAGCCCAGGTAAGAATCATGGGCCCATACACCATGCCACAAAGTTGCACTTACTTGGAAACTTCAATCTGACTGTGTTGGCTAGAGAATGAAGAAAATACAAACACATGTCAACAGAAAAGCCATGGTCATGAGTACTGAGCTCTCTAATGAAGAAATTGCAGCACCCAAAAAGCTCAGTGTGTTTATGATATAGAATTAAAGAAAGCCAAGGATATTCATTGCACTCAGGGAGACTGACTATAGTACACAGCTGAATCAAGGAACTGGGTTTAGCTAATCACAGTGGGAGCAATCTCTTAGGGAAATGGTCTTCAGGCCTTAGATATCCTGCAGGGAGAAAATTATGGTGGATAATTTTCTTCATATAGTATCAGTACTGACACACAGATCATAGAAAGGGTGTTTTTCCATTCCACCAAGCCTCAAGACCAGAGGGAGACTTCGACATTTCTCTAAAGCTAAGGTCTTTGACATGGTCATTCCAATGTCATCAGCACACAGTCGCATACAACTTCACTCACCCCTGAAAACAGAACTCTTTCTGTCAGCTCATTTTCAATGTTGGAGAAAGTGTTAACCCAAACACTCTAATGTGGAAAACCGGCAGGTATAAGACCTGGTGAAATCTGGTTTGTGAATCTCACCCTCGCTGAATATGACCAGTTATAGAACTTCTGGTGCTTGAGGTCTCCCTTTGTCTCTTTGTCTCTCTCTCACTCACACACATACACACACACACACACACACACACACACACACACACACACACACGTACACAATTAAAACATAAAAATAGATCTTAAAAATTAAGACAAGGCCTGTGGGGTGTGATTCAGACATTAAGGTTCCAAGTTCATGGACAAAGTTAGCACTGAGATGGAAAGAAGTCACTTCACTGTCTTCCAGCAGGTGGAGACAGAGCAACAGGTTGTCATCTTTGTAGTGGCAAGACCTCTTCAAATAAACCCTCACTAGAAATCTGTGGATTCCTTAGATTTGAAATTCCCAGACTTCAGAATCGTAAGAAATGAAGTATTGCTTTACGTTTCTTAGTCTAAGGTGTTTGTTTTTGTGTCTCAAGTGGATGAAGAAGACAGGAAGCCACCCTACTCTTGTATTTTGCTAGATGTATTTTCTTTTTTTTTTTCTTGCTTAGAAAATAGTCTACTTATCTATGCAGTTCTACAAGAATTTAACTATTGTCATTTCATACCCTGTCATTAGGCATGAGCACATAAGTATTATTTTGTTCATTGGAGAATTGAATCCTATATGATATTTAATGTTCACCTTTATCTCAACTTTTTTCTTATCCATAGCTAAATTTTCCTAACATTAACACTAACACAGAACTACTACATCGCTTTGCGTGCTCTTGCTATAGAATATAATTTCTATCAGTTGTTTTAGCCTACGTGACTCTATGTCACTAAAATATGTCTTTTCTTAATGAACTACACATATTTATTGAGATTTTTCATTTCTCATGCACTCATGTTCTTTAATTGGGAATAGGTCTTACTTTGTAGTCCAAGCTGTGTTTGAATGAAACAATCCTCCTGCCTTGATTTCCATGTGCTTGAAGTATAGGTGGGTGCCACCACACACAGCTTTAATGGTTGTGCTCTGTTTATTGTAATGTAAAGCTATTTGACACAGACAAATATCTTCCCTGTTTCACTCTTAAACTGATACGAATAGTTACTTTATTCTTCTTTTTCTCTTTCTCTAATTAACCTGTTTCAAATGCCATCTGCTTTTTCTCCTCCCTGAGTATATGAAATACATTTATTGTTTGTTTGTTTTCAGGCCTGCAAGTTTTCTAACCCACACAATTCTCATGCCTCAGCTCCCCAGATGCTTAAGATAAAGGAGTATGATAATGTGTAAAATAATATACTTTAAAGTGTTTTTCTTTAAGCTTTCAGTTCAAGCTTTTACTAATCTGATTCTATATTCACAAACAGCATGCATAATGTAGTGCTCTGTTTTTGTATGGTCACTCCCTGTGGCTTCGTCCAGTGGATTATGGACTCAATGCTATTCATTTTACTTCAATGGACTAGAATTATCCAGTGAACTGCTACTGAGAACCTAAGCCACCCTTTATCTTATAGTCAAATTAAGAATGTTAAAAATGGGGCCAGAGAGATGATTCAGTATTTAAAGGTTCTGGTTGCTTTTCCAGGTGACCCAGGTTTAAACCTACATAATGGTTTAAACCTACATAGTGGAAACACCTATGACTTCATGTACAGTGGATCAGTGACACACTTTCAGCCTCTGTGAGAATGGTACACAAGAGGTACACAGATATATGAGCACTCAAAACAACCATAGACATAAAATAAAATGAAAAAAAAATAGCATCTATTCCTTTGCCAATCTATTTCCACCCTACAAATAAATTAAAATTTCTGATCTATATATTTTTTTTCCAACCCTGAAGAATTCTTATAAAATTTACTTGCTGAGTATGCCTGCTGGTGATGGATTACATCTCTTTTTGAATATTTTATTCTGATGTTGTACTTTTTTTTTTTTTTTTGGAGGCAAGAAGAAAGTTTAATGACACACCCGTCATGGTAACCCCAGTGTCCATCAACGCAGAAGCTCCCCAGGAGTGAGAGGCTTCCTAGGCATCCTCCGCAGTGCTGCTTCTGAGGTGGCTGGGTGTGGCACCAGTGAGGCTTGTGGCAAGAGGAGGGAGCTGCCTAATCCTTCTTAAACTTGCCATTGATGTAAGGCACCCAGTCCAGCATCAGCCGCCAGTCCGTGGCCCATACCAGCCCCACAGCATCCACACCGCCCCACATGCTGGCCGTGGGGATCCAATTCTTGACCAGTTCCAGGTAGCGCGGACCTAGAAACCTGCTCAGCATCGCTGCAGGGCTTCAACAGTCAAGGTCACCCTGTTCTGCTCCCCTGAGCCACTGAGGCTATACATTCTTTTTTCTTTTTTTTTTTTATTAATTACACTTTATTCATTTTGTATCCCCCCATAAGCCCCTCCATCCTCCCCCCCATCCCACCCTCCCTCCCCTTTCTGCATGCATGCCACTCCCCAAGTCCACTGATAGGGGAGGTTCTCCTCTCCTTTCTGATCTTAGTCTATCAGTTCTCATCAAAAGTGGCTGCATTGTCCTCTTCTCTGGCCTGGTAAGGCTGCTCCCCCCCTCAGGGGGGAGTGATCAACGAGCAGGCCAATCAGATTATGTCAGAGGCAGTCCCTCTTCCCATTACTATGTAACCCACTTGGACACTGAACTGCCATGGGCTACACCTGTGCAGGGGTTCCAGGTCATCTCCACGAAGAGTCCTTGGTTGGAGTATGATTTTCTGGGAAGTTCCCTGTGTTCAAATTATCTTGTTCTATGCTCTCCTTGGACATCAGAAGAAAAAGAAAATAGGAAACAACCTCGGAACCTGCTACAGAGAGCCTCTGAAAGCCAGAAGAAAACAGGAAACAATCTTGAAACCTGCCACAGAGGGCCTCTGAAAGCTTCTGCAGTATAGACTGTCAAAGCAGATGCTGAGCCTGATGGCCAACTGATGGGCAGAGTGAATGGAATTTTATGTAAGAAGTGGGAAACAGTAAGATGCTGTACTTTTTTATCTCAATACTTTAATATACCAAATTCTCTTCTTGTTTACATAGTGTCTACTGGGAATATTGAAGTAATTTTTTGGTGGTTAAGCTGGCTTCCTTGATCCCGTGGCTTCTTTTAAACTTATTGCTTAATTTAGGCGTGCTGTCAATTGAATATGACACATCCCTGTATGCATGTATAGCTTTGTTCTTTAGTATTTTTTTCCTGTGTGGTATTTTCTGAAGTTCCTGAATATTCATTTATACATTAATTCATTTTAAACTTCTTAACCACATATTTCATCTATTCCATGTTTCTCTTTTCTATTTTTCCAAGTGAATGCATATTATAATGATATGTTAATATTTGAATATTAATAATAATTTGGATATATGATAATAATCGCTCTAAAGTTTTGTCACATTTTCTGAACTTTGTATGTTATTTGGTTTTTCTTTCATTGTTATTTTGTTTTAGTTGAGGAACTAATTTGTCTTTAAATTCACAGATTTCTTTGATGTCCAACCTTCAGAAACTCTTCAGACATACTGTTTCTTTCTCTTACAGGGGCTTTCATTTCTACTATTTTCTTCTGATTATTCCCCAGCATTCCCATCCTGCTGCTCACAATTAACCATCTGTTCCTGCATGCTGTCTACTTTCCCACTAGATCCCTGAACATATTAATCATAGTTATTTAAAATTCTCCTTCAGATACTCTAACTATCTGTCATTTCTGAGTTTGGATCCAGTACTTACTTCATGGGTAGAGACTGTGTTCATTTGAATTTTGGTACTCCTTGCAATTGTTGTTGTTGTTAAAAATTTTACCTATTAGATAAGATAATGGAAACTAAGGCAAATAATTTTCTAGCAGGATAATTTATTTGAACCCACTGAAGCACTGAAGGACTGGGGTGTCTTCAGTGGATGCCTTAGCTTTAAAACCTGATGGTTGCAAAGTCCGCTAATATCCTTACTTTTGTCTTTTTTGCCCAATCATGTTCTTCCCTAAGAATCTGTCTTCTGAGGAAACCTGTGTCCTGATGCCTTTCCAGCTATAATTATTCGTCAGATAATCTATGCACAGCATGGAAATAATATTTAAGAGAAGGTACATTATAGACTCTCTTATCATTACTTGAAACACCACAGACTGGGTCTCCCTGTCGGGAGGGAAACCCCATGGTGGGGAAACTTCTGGTGAGACCTCAGGAAACACAGCTCCAAAAAAGTTTCTGGAACCCCACAAGCTCCAAGCCCTAGCCTCCTGCTGCATGTATGAGAGCTGTACTCACCTGCCACTGATTACTGCTTGGGCACTGGGGCACAGAGCACCAACCTCAGACCTAAAGAAGCCAGGAATCCCCGAGATCAGCACCCAGATTCTACTCCAAGGAGCAACCAGTTATCCCTAACTAAACTGACCAAACTGTGGGGATCCCAGGTTCTGCAAGAGAGCTGTGCCTAGAAAACAGTGTAAGAACAATAGCAGCAGCTCACTAACTTCAGAGCAAGAAACCCAGCAGCAGGGCAGCTGTCTCCAGGACTTCTCCTGGTGAAAGGAAAGCCCCTCTGACTAACAAAGACCATAGTTACCACTCAGGTCTATATATATGAGGTTAGCTGTGGCAATTCCTGAGAAACACTGGCCATTCAGAGACCAAACCCAAAAAGCTGAGGAGGCCTCCCTCAGGAAAAATCATCTTCCTGCCAAGGGGATTCTACCCACCCCAGGATTCCAACAGACACCAAAAACTAACAGCTAATACCTAAGATATTCCAATGGGTATAGGCCAGCATAAAAGCTCAACCAACAAAACCAGGACGACATGGCATCTCCAGAACCCAGTTATACAGGAGCAAGCAGCCTTGGTCACCCCAGCATAAATGAAATTCAAGAAGATAACCTTACATCTACACTTATGAAGAGGATAATAGAAGAAACAAAATGTGTAAAGAATTAGAGGAAGATAAAGTCAAAGAGATTATGGCCATCTATAAAGAAATGGAGGAAGATAAAAACAAACAGATTATGGCCAACCATAAACATACAGGAAGATGCAGCCAAGTAGTTTGTGGTCTTTATAGAGAAAATGATTAAATCATTGAAAGAAATTAAAGAAACAGAGAAATGTTCAAACAAACAGCTGAAGGAATTGAAGGAGAAACAGGAAAATACAGTCAGACAGATGAAGAAAATCAACAAAATGGCTCAAGACCTGAAGACAGAATTGGAAAAATTAAAGAAAACATAAGCAGAGAAAATCATGGGAGAACTTAAGGAAGAAAATAGGACTTGCAGAGGTAAGCAGAAGCTATAGACTACAAGAGATGGAAGAAAGAATCTCAGGTGTGGAAGATACAATGGAAGAAATTGATGTATCTGTCAAAGAAAATGTTAAATCTAAAATATTCCTGACACATACCATCCAAGAAATCCAAGACAACACAAAAAGACAAAACCTAAGAATAATAGGTATATAGGAAAAAGAAGATTTTCTTCTCCAGGGCCCAGAAAATATTTTCAGCAAAATCATTAATATAAATTTCCCCAACTTAAAGCAAAAGCCTATAGGAAGACAAGAGGCCTAGAGATCACCTACTAAGTTAGAGCAGAAAAGAAAATCCACCTGCCATATAATAATCAAAAAAGTAAGTATACAGAACAAAGAAAAATTACTAAAAGCTGCAAGGACAAAAGCCAAGTAACATATAATGGCAAACCCATCAGAATTACACTTGACTTCTCAGCAGAGGCTTTGAAAACAAGAAGGGCCTGGACAGATGTCCTGCAGACCCTAAGAGAACACAGATATCAGCCCAAGCTACTACAACCAGCAAAACTCTCAGTCATCATAGATGGAGAAAACAACATATTCAATGACAAAAGCAAATTTAAATAATACCTACCTATAAATCCAGCATTACAGAAGGTACTAGAAGGAAAAATACAACCAAGGGAAACTAGCAACATCCAGGAAAAAACAGGAAAAGAACAATCTCACTACAACAGAACTAAAAGTAGCCAAGCTTCCAAATGCCCTACTACAACCAACAGCAAAATCAAAGCATCTAAAAGCCACTGGTCATTAATCTCCTCAATATCAATGGACTCAACTCTCCAATAAAAAGACACAGAATAACACAATGGATATGTAAACAAGATCCAACAATCTGTTGCATACAAAAAACACACATAAGTAACAAAGGTAGACATTACCTGAGAGTAAGGGCTAGAAGACAGTTTTTCAAGCTAATGGACACAAGAAGCAAACATGAGTAGCCATTTTAATATCTAATAAAGTAAATTTTTAATCAAAATTAATCAAAAGAGATGGGAAAGGTCATTTCATACTCATCAAAGGAAAACTGCACCAAGAAGACACCACAATTCTGATCATTTATGACCCAAACACAAGAGCACCCACATTTGTAAAAGAAGCATTAATAAAACTAAAAAGACACATAGATCCATACACATTAATAGTGGGAGACTTTAACATCCCACTCTCAAGAAAGGACAGGTCAATAAATGAGAAATTAAACAAAGAAACAATGACTCTGACAGAGGTCATGAATCAAATGGACCTAACAGACATCTACAGAACCTTTCACCAAAACACAAAAGAATTCACCTTCTTCTCAGGACCTCATGGAACCTTCTCCAAAATAGTCCATATAGTTGGTGACAAAGCAGCCTCAACAGATAAAAGAAGATTGAAATCCCTTGTATTTTATCTGATCACCATAGACTAAACCTGGACCTCAACAACAACAGAAATAGCAAAAAGCCTATATGCATATGGAAACTGAACAACTCTCTTCTCAATGACATCTGGATCAGGGAAAAAAATAAAGAAATCAAAGACTTCTGAGAATTCAATGAAAATGAAGGTAAAACATGCCCAAACTTATGGGACACAATGAAAGCAGTGCTAAGGGGAAAGTTCATAGCCATAAGTGCCTCTAAGAAGAAATTTGAAATATCTCATACAAGCAATTTAAAAACTCACCTGAAAATCCTAGGGAAAAAAAAGAAGCAGACATACGCCAAAGGAGTAGATTGTTGGAACTAATCAAACTCAGGACTGATATCAATTAATTAGAAAGAAATAAAACTATTCAAAGAATCAATGAAACCAAGAGTTGGTTCATTGAGAAAATCAACAAGATCGACAAACCATAGCCAAATTAAATAAAAGGCAGAGAGACACCATCCAAATCAACAGAATCAGGAATGAAAACGGAGACATAGCAATAGACACTGAGGAAATCTAAACAATCATTAAGTCTTACTTCAAAAAC